CACTGTAATCTCTCTAAAACTGATTTAGAAAAAAATTACAACTTCTCTTATCGGTTTCTCGATTTACAAAAGAGAGAAGGAATCAACGGAGATCCTTCCTTTTGTTTAAAACCGGGTTCTTCTTGGTGTCGATGGGAGCTTGATTCTTGTATCCCGTTGACGATCTGAACGTTTTACCTCGTGGAACTTGGTTGATTCTTCTTGATGGGAAAACTTGCAATGCAAGTTTAGAACTCTTAACGAGTTTAGAACTCTGGACGAGTTAAGGAACTCGGAACGAGTTTAGAACTTTGTAAAAGAGTTAATTTGAACTAATTGAAACTCGGTTCACAAACCAAGGGTAAAATCTCCAAGAATTGCTCCAAGATCCGAAATCTCCAAGACGAGGCCAAAGAAAGCTAACTCCGATCTCCAAAAGTGATCTGCTCAAAGATCTCCCAAAAAGACCCGCTCAAAGATCTAAAGAATCCGCTCCAAGGCCTCCAAAAGAAAAAGCCCCGATTTAAGTTGATTTTTCAGCTATTTACAGGGGATTAAGGGGTGTAACTAACCCCTAAAGTCTCTCCTTACTGGGGTGTAATCCCTCTCGAATCATGAAAAACGGTTTTAGAACCGCTCAGCTCGTGTTTGAACGAGTTAAACGCGAAATTCGCGTTCTGGGCATAAACTCTGCATCTTGAACTTGAGCTCTGCGTTTGGATCTGAAACGCGGCAATGAGCTCTGCGTTTCAAGTCTGGAACGCAACGATGAGCTTTGCGTTTTAAGTTTGGAACGCAGCGATGAGCTCTGCGTTTTGAGTCTGGAACGCAACTATGAGCTTTGCGTTTTGAGTCTGGAATTCAACGATGAGCTCTGTGTTTTGAGCTTGGAGCAAGGGAATGACCTCCGCATTTGGGCTTGAAGAGATCGCCAATTGTAATATCTTTTCTCAAGTTCTGTAAAGATCGTCGTCTTGTAATCCTTACATTCGGCTCTTTGAAATGTGAGAGTTGTCGACTTGTAACTCTTATATATTCTGAAAGTCGTCAAATTGTAACTTTCATCATTGGTGTTTGACGGGGATCAGCTATCCGCAGTAATTTTTAGACAACCTACACTCATACCACATATGTCCAAGCAAAGAGTGGTTTGCAACTTATCAAAAGCTAGATGGAGGAAATGTTGTTATGGGTAATGATGTCGTCTGTAAAATAGTTAGAATCGGCTCCATCAAGATCAGGGCACATGATGGTGTAGTTCGTACACTTACTGGTGTCAGACATGTTCCACAGATGAAGAAAAATCTGATATCGCTTGGTGTTCTGGACAAAAAGGGATATCAGTTTCGAGGTGAAGGTGGAGTTTTGTGTGTCTGTAAGGGTGATTTAGTGATACTGAAAGGTATCAAGCATGGTACCTTGTATGTCCTACATGGTTCGACAGTGATCGGTTCTGCTGCTGTAGCATCTTCTTTAGAAAATCGCCAATCTGACATAGCCAAGCTATGGCACATGCGACTTGGCCATATGGCCGAAAGGGGAATGCAAATACTATCCAAGAGAGATCTTCTTCAAAGCCGCAAGATTAAAAATCTTGAGTTTTGTGAGCACTATGTCTTCGGGAAACAACATTGCATCAAGTTTGGCAGGGCAGTTCACAGGACTAAGGGCACTCTTGATTACATCCACTCTGATTGTTGGGGTCCATCCCGTGTTGAGTCCTTAGGAGGCAGCAGGTATTTCTTATCTATGATTGATGATTATTCAAGGATGAATTGGATTTTCATGATGAAGCATAAGAGCGAGGCTTTCAAGAACTTCAAGCAGTGGGTGACTTTGGTGGAAAATCAGCCAGAGAAGAAGATCAAAAGGCTGCGAACTGATAATGGTTTGGAATTTTATTCATCTGAATTCGATGTGTTCTACAGAGATAAAGGGATTGCGAGGCACTACACAGTCAGAAATACGCCATAGCAGAATGGTGTAGCAAAACACATGAATCAAACATTTTTGGAGAGAGCTTGTTCCATGCTCTCTAACGCTGGATTGAGCAGAAGTTACTAGGCTGAGGCTGTTACTACAGCATGTTATTTGATCAATCGCGGGCCTCACACAGGTATCGATTGCAATACACCTTATGAGGTATGGTCTGGCAAGCCTACTAATTACTCTAATCTAAAAGTTTTTAGTTGTCATGCATATTATCATGTTAGTGAGGGTAAGCTAGAACCGAGAGCAAAGAAGGGAGTATTTGTGGGCTATGGTGACGGGGTGAAAGGGTATAAAATTGAAAGTTATATTCAGTAGGAGCATGACCTTTGATGAGGATTTTATGCTTAACCCATCTGTGAAGTCTTCTGTTGCAGTTGAAAATAACAGTGCCCAAAATCAGGTGGAGCTTGAAGTGACACAGAATATAGATGAGCCAAGGCAGACACTTCAAAATTAGCAACAACATCCAGAAACAAAAACTCAACATTTAGAAGCTCAGCCATACAGTATAGCTGTTGATCGACCAAGAAGAACTGAAGTTGGTCCTCCGAAGAGATATGGGTTTGAGGATATGATGGGTTATGCACCGTTGGCTACTAAAAAGGTTGATCAAGAGCCCTCCACCTACAAAGAAGCCATATCGAGTCCTAATTCTGAGCAGTGGATTATAGCCATGTGTGAGGAGATGGAATCACTGCATAAGAACAAAACTTGGGAGTTAGTGCAGCGACCGCTAGGGAGAAAAATTGTCAGCTGCAAGTGGGTCTTCAAGAAAAAGGAAGGAATCACATCTGTTGAAGCTATTAAGTTTAAAGCTCGTCTAGTTGCAAGAGGGTTTGATCAGAGAATGAGTTGACTACAATGAGATTTTCTCACCAGTGGTCAGACATACTTTTATCAGGGTACTACTAGCAATAGTGGCGCATCAGAATCTTGAGCTTGAGCAACTGGATGTCAAGACAATTTTTCTTCATGGAGTGCTGGAAGAGGAAATTTTTATGAGTCAGCTTGAGGGGTTCCAAGTTCCTGGGAAAGAGAACTATGTTTGCAGGTTGAAGAATTCCTTGTATGGGCTCAAGCAGTCTCCTAGGCAGTGGTACAAAAGGTTCGCCAGTTTCATGATTGGGCAAGGCTACAACAGGAGTTCACACGATTGTTGTGTTTACATCAACAAGCTGAGAGATGGTTCATACATCTATTTGGTCCTGTATGTAGATGATATGCTCATAGCTGCCAGAGACATCAGATATTCAAAAGTTGAAGACTCTTCTCAGTACAGAGTTCGAGATGAAGGATCTAGGTGCAACGCAGAAAATCCTGGGTATGGGGATTTTTAGAGATCGAGTTCAGAAGAAGCTTTTCTTGCCACAAAAGGGTTACATTCAGAAGGTGATGTCCAGATTTGAGATGAGTAAGGCTAAGCCTTTAAATACTCCTACATGTGCAAATTGTTGTCTGTCAGCTGCATTTGCTCCTCAATCAGATGCTGAGAAAGATTATATGTCTCGGGTTCCATATGCTAGTGCAGTAGACAGCTTGATGTATGTCATGGTCTGCACTAGGCCTGACATTGCGCATGCTGTTAGTGTTGTTAGCAGGTTTATGGAATCCTTGCAAGGAACACTAGCAAGCAGGGAAGCGAATCTTTCGCTATCTTAGGGGTAAATTTGATGTTGGTCTCATTTATAAGAGTGGCACATAGTGTTTGGTAGTTGGTTATTCAGACTCTAGTTATGTTGGGGATGTGGACACCAGAAGGTCAATGACTGGTTAGTGGTTATGTCTTCACTCTTGGTGGTTCCGTTGTTAGATGGAAGGCGTCTCTGCAACCTTCAGTGACTTTGTCTACTACAGAAGCGGAGTACATGGCGTTGACAGAAGCTGCTAAAGAGGGGATCTGGTTGAAAGGAATAGTCAATGATCTTGGTCTACATCATGATCAAGCTACTGTGTTCTGTGATAGTTTGAGTGCAATATGCTTAGCCAAGGATCAAGTTCATCATGAATGGAAGGACTAAGCATATAGATGTTCGGTATCACTTCATGTGCACTAAGAAGCGGATCAAGGTGGAGAAGATTGGGACAGATGATAATCATGCTGATTTGTTCGCCAAGTCAGTTCCTCACAGGAAGTTCCAACAGTATGAGTTCAACTTGCATACTATAGAGGAACCTGTTAGCTAGTAGTGACACTTTCTTGTGATGAGACCATGTAAATTTCAGTGATATAAGCTTAACTTAGCATTTCATAGATTATTTAATGTTCTAAGTCATTCATCTTCACCCTTAAACTCTTTAGATGCCTAAACCCTTGAATGCGTAATAAAAATGTCAATGCTTTCACTTTCAAGCCTTTTCCTCATCCCATCACCATCAACGTTATGCCAATCCATACCTTAAGCAACCTTGCACTCTTCTTATTCCCTTGTAAGAGAATCTCTCTCTCTCTCTCTCTCTCCTCTCTCTCTCTCTGAAATAGGACTAAAGAGAAGGAAACAAAAGCTATAATTATTGGTTAGAAATTTATTCCAGCTGTTATTATTCCCCCTGCTTTACTCAATCCCATCGAAAATTCAAGTGGGTTAAAACAGTAGAGAGCCAACAGAAGGCCTTAAATAAATAAATTGACCGACCCAACCCTTCATATCTAAACTAGTCTAAAGAAATAGAGAACGAAGTCTGTGTGCTACTTGAAGCAACTGAAATTGATTTTTCTTTAAATAGTTGGTGGCTTCGAGATAGAAAGAGTTGGCATCATCTTAGGATAAGCATTAGTTCTTATACCCAAGTTTTTTTATGTACCAATTAACCAATATTGGATCATGAGCAGCATGAAGATATCATCTCCCAACAAGTAGCATGTTACCATCATTAATTGGCCCTGGCATCCACTGTGGGGTAGATAGTGGTCCTCCCTTTCCAATTTTTGAGCTTCCTACCAGTTAAAAGAGTCCATAATACATGAGCAGAATTTTGCAACTAATATCTTAACTCTTTTTGCTCTAATTGGAAAATACATGTACTAACAGAACACCGTGCATGCGAATGGAGTGTTCTGAGCCATTAAAGAAGACCAATAAAATCTCCAAAGGCGAATATAGGTATGCCTGATGCCAAGCACCGAATTTGATGAATGTCATTGATGTGGTCATTTCTCATCCACTCATTTAAGGAGTGGGTAATCAAACGAGGATCATTTTAAATAGGTAACTTTTAATGTACGGATGAAAAACATTCATATTACTACCGAGTACAAATCTTGTGTTTGATACCAAATATACTCATTTTTTTCTCATCTCCGAACTGCTGCGTGGGGTATTCTGATAAAATTTGTCTGAATTCTTCCATGATCATAATCCCATCCTTACCCTACACTCAAAGGCACCATCATTGGCGATCCTTGTCACTTGTGGGTCCCAATTGAAAAACATTTCCTCATTTGTCGCTATTTGGAATCACAACTCCACAATCAACTCTGCCTGTCCTCCCAAATCCACCATCTCCCTTGGGACAACGCGACACAACGCATGACCCTCCACTTCATCGGTACGAAGCTATCCTCTCCTCTTCACCCTTTAAAAATCTCTTCGCTTCAATCAATCCAAATACTACTCCCACCGGTCCTTAGTTAGCTCAATGGAGAAATCATCGGAGATGAGTTTCGAAGACTGGGAGCTAATTCCCAACACTTCCCACGGTTCGATTGAATTCGATCTCGGCGTTGAAAAGGGTTCCTTAATCCCCGAGGACATAGACATCTACTACTTCTCCAACGACAAAAAGATCGAGGAAAAGCAAGATTATAAAGACATAGGGGTCGTCCCTGATCATCGCGATGTGGAGCCTGCAGCCTCCAAGAAGTTGGAGGGTGACGAATTTGACAGCACGGAAGCAGAGCAAGCAGCTGCTGAGCCAGAACAGATGTTGTTCGACAGCGAAGAGGAGGAGGAGTTTTATAGAGGTGAGAAAAGCTCAGAGAAGGAGGTTGAATATGTTGAGCCCGAGATCGTAGGAAAGAAATCTGGCCCTAGAGATTGGAGGTGGAGAGTTGTCGGCGGCGTTGGAGCTCTCTGTTCTGTCGGAGTGGCTGCAGCAACCCTGTGCATTTTCATTTTCGGCGGTCGCCAGTTGCAGAAGCACCAGCATCAGAATCAGAAGCTTCAGTTTCAAGTTTATACCGATGAGAAGGTTGATAGCTGTAAGGTTCATTTCTGCCTATCCTTTTGATTCATTTGACTGGAAAGTCTTTGTTGTTTAACTGCAGAGGATTAAGCAGGTGATGCAGCAGGCGACGAGGCTGAACCATGCGATATTGGCGGTGAGGGGGGCTCCGATGAACGCTGCCCATATATCATTTGGGGGGTATTATGATGGACTCTAATTTGCTGAATCGATCGAGGAATGTTGCGATAAAGTTTCATGATGTTACTTTTAGCGCTGTAAATAGAGGAGAACGTGTATGTAGAATGGAGGCATGGGGATTGTGGCTTGGAGTACTCTTGTTATTTGGAGATCTAGTACGAGGAATGTTGGGGTTATATGTTCATATATAGATCTGGAGACTAATGAATATAGTCAATATACAGAGCTATTTTTAATTATTTGCTCGTATATGAGTCTTTTAATTGATCAGTAAATGGCAGAACATTTTCATTCAAGATCCTTGCTTTTGACCATCACTGTATATAAACACATGAGTGAAATGTGACACGCAATTGCATATAAGCATACATTGTATCTTGATACATGATTCGACAATTTCATTTGAAATCCAAATTTGGATTTTTTTTTTCAAGCATCTGTTAAATTTGAAAAAAAAAATGTGGACCTTCATTTATAGTAAGGGGCTGTTTGTTTGGGCCAAAAAGCCTAGAAAATAGAGTTAAGAAATCTGACACATGAAAATAAGGCTCATTTTCCTTTAGAAGCCGATGTTTGTCTCGCGAAAACGAAAAAGGAAAGTGAGAGAAAAATGGGTTCCACGATTGATTTGCAGGAGATTTGTTTTTCCGCTCTCAAGCTCCCGATTTTGCCGAAAAGTAGCGGAAAGTGAACTCCGTACAACATCGAAGAGAAAAGGAGGGAAAGTTTAGGGCCCCCGCCTCCTCATTTCGTCACCTCTCTCTCTCTCTCCATCTCTCTCATCTCTCTCTCTCTCTCTCTCTCTCTCTTTTCTAACCCCTCATTCCTTGCCTCTAATCCCTAGTAATCGGAAGTTTTTGGCGCCCGAAACCGACGAACACGAATCCCCCGTTCCCTTGCCTCTACATCCCTCTGTCATCGGCGGTTTTCAAGTTGAACCAAACTAACAAAAGTGGTGGAAAGCACTTTCAACCCATTTTTTTGGCGAAACAAAAAAAAAAAAACAATTTCCATAAAAGTGAAAGAAGCACAAAAAAGTAAAGAAAAATGAGTTTTGAAAAATAAAAAAAACTAACCAAACATGCCCTAAAAATATAAACCTAGGTCCAAAATCAGGGAAAAAACAATGAGCAACTCTCAAAGTTGGACGCTGATGTTGTAGTCAGAAGCTAACAAGTGGCAGCTGTAATTGACGTTTGCAATACGTACACGGAACATGGGCCAAGGGCAAGGAGGTCCACATCATAAACCGCATTATTATTTTATCGCCACATATCAATTAGGTGCTTGATGATTAGCTCTTAGTTTTCACGTCCCTTCCTCCTTTAACTAACCCTTTAATTAATCAATTGATGTTGGGTAAGGTTTGTAGCTGAAGTTTGATTTTTGGGGAAATTTGTGAAACAATTTGAGCCACTGATTTAAGAACAGAAAAATGTATGAGTTTATGCCTACGCTTCTCAAGTATCCTCAACAGTCGAGCAATTTTAAAGATACAAAGCACGCAAGTTTCTCCAATATAACATAAAATGATCATAATAAGTTCTACGAGTTAAATTCCTTCAAAAAAAAAGTTGATACAAGTTAAAAGCAATATATATATAGAAAAATAGTATCAACGTGATTTTACAGCTGGTGAATAGGGAAATACATTAAATTATATCACGTCCAGAGTTATTTTAGAGGGTTAATAGAATCAACATCAAGTATGTAACACATGTCAATGTATAATGCTCGAGAGTATAGCCAAGTCAAAGATTCAGTTCCTTACCGACTGCCGCCATTATTTCACACTGTTTCGAGGGGGAAAAAGAAAATTGGTCAAATCTCCGTAAAGATCACCCGTATATTGTGCCAATGTTATCCACGTACTTTATGTTTGTAAGTCATTAATGAGAATTTCTAATGTTATTTCTATCATCAGCATGTTCATTTTTTTTGCAAACTCTCGTTAAATCTTGTTGACATGTCGGTGGCATGATATGATAAACTTTTACTTTCATTATTTTTATACCTTGCAATGTCACTAAAGCACCGGAAAAAGGGTTAGCGAAAGTCTGCCCTGCCACATTAGTAACACATTAGTAATAATACAAGAGTTGGTGAAAAAGGAACTAGGCATGAATTCGGATCTTCTTCATATTAAAAAATAGTGGAAAGACGATTACTTTCTAAAGTAACCATTGCTCATCTAGTTGGTAATTGAGATTATTTCTAAATCTAACACTTACTATACCCCTTAAATTACACTCATTCCTAATTTACACTCAAAGAAAAAAATATTAACCATCAAATAAATAATTGATGACAATGATTGGGATAGAGAATGAATAATCAATGACAATGATTGCGATAGAGAGCATCCAAATCCAACGTCAGGGACCCAAATAATATTTAAGTAATATTTAAGTAATACATTTAGTGATTATCAATGAACTTATAACAAAGGATTACTTCTCACTGTGTTACTTAATAACTGTCATGCCCCCAAAATGCACAACTTATTTTGAGATACAGGACAACGGCAACACGTGCAAAAAGTACATGCTCACCCTGTGGTGCACTTCTATATTACAAATAAACTTCACTCAGAAGAAACTTTATTGACAAATAGAAGTCTAAGAGCAAAAACTACATTATAATAAGTTTACTATAGGGAGTTGAAAGACTTATTACATAAGTATAGTAGCATGACTAGTATGACTATACCTTTCAGCATCAAAGCATTATCTAGAATATTCTTCTCATGTCTCAATCTCCATGTCATAGATAAAGATGTGTAATACTCATCTAAAACAGATTGAAAATATTAGGGTGAATTTACACTCGATAAGTAGATAACTTATCATTAGCAAATCAGACAAGTTTAAAAAATTTATCAATACTAAATTCAAATAAGCTACTGTCAAAAAGAATGATTGAGAAACACATAATATTTTGAATAAGAGGTATTTTCAAGAATAGCATTTGATATTGTCATAAAAGAATATTCATAAATTTAAGAAACAATACGAATGAAACCAAATATTTTTAAAATTGTAATTATCGATCTAAATTAATATTTACAAATTTTTTTCAGTTGTCATACTAAGGATACGAAAATTATAGCCCGGTAGCATGGGAATACGCATCGAATCACTATAGGTGAACTCGGGGCATATATAGAATATACCTAGCACTATCATAGGTTGTCCGAAGGCCACTTTATTTTTGCCAAAAAGCCCCCTTTAACACTGGTCGGTACATTCAATACCATATGATAGGCTTAAACATATCACTTCACTCAATAGTGGACTTCTGAGGATTTTTAACATTTAAAAGACTCTTCTTTTTGCTTAAAGTGTCACTTGCAATTTTCACATATACGAAAAGCAATATAAATGCTTAAGCGCTTTTTGCAAACTTTTCTCATGCCGATTTCATGAAAATAAAATTGTTATGGTGCTTTCAGTCATCAAAGTACGGCCCTTTGCTAACAACGGACAAGTATCCCCCCTACATGCACCGCTCAAACCATATTAACGGTCAAAACCACCAAGGATCTCGACGTAGCCGACTCGTCGAGTCGACGTATCCTTAGATCGACTCGAAAGGTGGTACTTGTCGATTCTCTCGTCGAAGAAGACTCACAATGAGCCTTACTCGACCAGCTATTCGACGCCTCGCGAAGTCGACTCGAAAGGCATTACTTCTCGACCAAGCTAAAGGAAGACTTTAGCCTCGAGCCTCTCTCGCGACAGCACGTCGGCGTCACATTTAATGCTTGGCAGCCGCATCATGACTCTAGTCGCGATAGTCTTCATGACTCATCGGACCACGTCAGCACTGTCATGCTTCCAATCTATTCTCATTTAATGCTGAGGTGATCTCTCCTCTACTCGCCGACCGACACGTGTAAAGTAGGTACTGACGCAACCATCAGTCCATATCTGCTTACTACCTTCCTGTACTCAGCCGAAGTGATGGTTCTACCCCTTTCATCACCACTACAAATAGATGTACTATTCTTTACTAAGGGGGATCTTGATCATTTCTTTTTTTCAATCTAATCTTGAGTTTTTTCCTGATACGCAATATCTGCATATTACACTGTACGACACTAAAGAACTCAGACAGTTATTTATTTTCCCACTCAAGTTCATCAGCTAACTTGATCGTCGGAGGTACAACGGGGGAACCAAGACCCGTCCTCTCACGAGTTTCTATTTGTGCAGGCTGAAGCTACTAAACTCATGACCAGATATATTCGGAGAAGTGAGCAGCCCCAAATCAGTCTCACTCCATCACATATTTGACTGTTTGGTTACTTAACATCAATAAGAATATTCATGAATCTAAACAAATAAATAATTTTTTGTCAAATAGAACTCTTCAATAAATGCATTTGAACAGTAAATCTAAAATGACATATTTTCAATAATCTCATATGCTAAACAACGTTAATCTTGTAAAAGATAAATAGCTATCACGATTCAAATTTGTTAACAATGACTAGAAATAAACAGAACAACGTGTCTGATCCACAATTTCTCTACACAAAAAATAAAATAATCATTTAAATAATATATAATAGATTAAAATAACTAATGGGAAGAAATCTACTCACCTTTAAAAATCTGACAACAATTTGGAGAACCGTACTCCAATAACCTACTCCTCGATCAAACCGATATGCACATAAATTTCTAATACTACACACAAAAACTATTTTGAGTATAAAACTAATATTTCTAGTTTCTAGGGAATTTTCTAAAACTTGTTTCTATTCTTTATTCTAGGGGATCTAATTGTAAATTTTATTTAACTAAGGGCTTAAAGGAAAAATTCCCATCAAATAGGTTTTATATAGAAACATCTCTTCATAGATTTTTGGACCCATAACTAGTTTCCATATTTCTAAAGGACTAATGACAAATTTTTTTCCTCTTCCTCTTATTTGTTTTTTTCAATAGAACCCAAAAGAGATTCAATGAGTTTGATGACTGCAGTGATCCTCGCCGGTGAAATCTTTGACCAAGGGATGGTCGGAGGTCGCCGAACAATACCAGAACTAATGTCGGTGGTCGGAAAGGTACTATTTTTTAATGAAACTAAAAGAAATCAAACAAAGAACAAACTAACATTATGAAGCTTAATCCTCTCTTCCTCTTCAATCTCCAGACCTATTTCTCCAGATATCTTTTTCGTTTTGTTTTTTGTGTGAAGCTTGTGATTAGGGAGAAAATTATAGGTTACCATGACCCTCGACATTCTATAACCGTTTTTCTCTAAATAAACTCCAATAATTGAACAACCTAATTCATATTTTCACAAACCTTTGGTTTTCCTTCTTAATAACTCTTTATTAATTAAAAAAAGATGGTTCTCTGTGGGCCTGTTTGGTTC